ATGTATAGGTTAAGAAAATATTATTTCATAACTTCAAATTTTATTAAACATTACACAGCAGCAAAGAATCAAATGTCAAAAGCCTGACCATATTGGTGACTTACTATTGACAATATTAATAAACAAAAATGCAAGTGAAAACAAAACTAAGTTTCTCTGAGAACATAAGGGGAAACACACTAGTACTTCAGCTCATTCTACATGGGCAGCAATTTACCAGACACTTCTGGTAGACCTTCATTGTGGCAATTAAACATGCTGATGCTTTGTGTCACAGCACTACTGGAATCTACTCTTCTGGTCACAACTGGCCTAAATGGGATCTTCAAATACCAATGTACACATCTCCCTTTCTAAGGAAATACACTTTTTCTATGAATATAATGTGAATATAATAAAATACACATTAAGCTTACTGAAATTTCTTGATTATAAAATTAAGTTTTAAAAGGTGGTTTTAGATGAGATGCATACTTGGACCATCAAAACTGTGGGTGGGTAGTTTTAGCTCATTAGAGCTGTCCTGTAGTATGTGGCAGGGCATTTGTCTCAGGAACCCACAGACATCAAAATCTACAGATGCACAAGTCCCTTATACAAAACAGTGTAGTACTGCATGGAACCTGCACACATCCTCCTGAAGATGTTAAACCATTCTTGGTTGATTCATAATACCTAATACAGTATGAGTACTATTTAAATAGTTGCTGTGCTATACTATTTAGGGAATAATGACCATAAGACAAATGTCCATGTTTGGTACAGACATAATTTATTAATTTTTAAAAATATTTTTGGATCCCAGATTGGCTCAATCGGTGGATGTGAAAAACTAGTGGACAGGGAACCAGTGGGAATGGAGAGCTGACTATACTTACATTTTTAAATTACCCTAACTATAATCCTTATGATATGGAAAAAGCATAATAGATAAATCTAATCACAGTATGAACTACTGAAAATTCAAAAGGCCAAACAACCCAGTTCAGAAGAATGAATTTGATTCAAGTGAAAAATCTACCCAACCTATTATCATATGTTGCAGATAACAGATTCTAATCTGATAATGTAAGAAGATAATCAATACATAATCACATACATAGTATCAACTGCTCTGCCAATTTATTCTACACTAGAAATAAAAATTGTTCAGCCTAGTTCTGTTAAAGGAAGTTAATTTAAACACCAATGTTTAAAATTAAAAAACTAATTTTGCTCAAAGCTCAAAAACACATACACACATAAATCATAAATTTACTTAGGTTCGTGTATATATAGCCCAATGCTGGATTCGTAACTGTACATGTAACTGACTGATTTTATAACATACACCGAAACTTCTGCACATCATGATTTTTAATTGAACTTTCTTGGAAGTATTCCAATGGTGATCTTTACTAGACCCTAGCACAATTTTTTTATGCTCAACTGTTATAATTTTTTTTTTCTTTTGATCTTTTTGAGACAGAGTCCTATTATACAGTTCAGGCTGACCTTGGGCTCTTCATAGCTCAGGCTGGTCTCAAACTTGCAAACGATTCTCCTGCCTGGAATGGATTTGATTTATGAGAATGAGATTTGATTAATGAGATGAGTCATTAAGACAGCCAACTGGCAACAGATGGAACTAAATAAACTTCTTTTGTTTACAAAAAAGAAAAAAGGAACTGACTTTAAGGTAATATGGTTGGTTTTAAAATAAACAGAAAAATACATACAAAGCAGAGAACCCAAGCACTTTGAGCACTCACATTTTCTTTGTAGCCAAGTGCACAACTTCCCAGTATGTTTTCCAATACTATGTTCTCTATCCCTTTTAGTTCTCCAAATTCTAAACAAAAATTGAATAAGGGACCCTAATGGCTTCTCATATAAACTATCTCATTTAATATATATACACTACTAAATAGTATCACTATTTCAAAGATGAATAAATGTCCAATTTATACTAGTAATGAAGGGCAGACAGAAATTATTTTATAGAATTTTTCTTACCAAATATGTATGTATCATGGACCTGACCTATTTAGGCTTTTGATTCATACTTTCTAATTTTCTTTAGTCTGATCCTCTAAGTAGCGTTAATTATGTACATTTCACCCATGGCCACAATGTAGTGCAATCATTCATATCAATATTTCTACTGAATTTTCAGTTTCTAGGGAAAATGGGCCACACCTTGTTTCTTTCCATTGTCCCAGAATACAGGCCCAGAATTATCACATCTATATAAATTGCTTTTTAGCAGCCCACCTGCAGCTTTGGGGCCATTTTTTTTTTTTTTTTTTTTTTTACCAGCTGCTTGAGGCTGCAACCTCACCCGTACCATTATTGCCCAAATAGCTGTTCCCTTACCTCAAGATACCCAACACACACCAGCACAGCTGGGGAGCGCCCAGGAAGGAAGAGTATTCAGTACCATCAACCCCTAGCTGTTAAGGCACTTTTGAGCATTTTGACACCACTGTATGTACTGTACAGGGATTTTCCCTCATTACATTTAAGAACTGCACTCATATTAGTTGGCTTCCAACAATTCATACACATAAACTACATTACAGCCCAGCACAATATTCATATGCAAGAATATCAACCGAAACAAAGAAAACATGAAAAAACAAGCAGCATGAGATAAAACCTTTCCACAAGCTATCTTTTAACTATAATACTAGAGGTTTAAGGGGCAAGACCACACAACTGATATGCTTTATATCACAAAAAACTACTGAGTCAGTAGTTACCAGCATTTTGAGACTGTTAAAGTATAATTATAAAATGACTGATTAATATTTAAGGAGACAGCAAGTCCTTCAACACAAAAGGAATATTTACAAGAGTAAATCTGTCTTTTAAAATATTAGTCTTAGGAGAAATGCAAAAATATACAAATGATGTCAGAGTAAAACTAGTTAATATAGTTCCCAATATCTTTATTTTTTTAGGGAATGCTAAGGCTGTGGTTTCAGGTTTTTTCATTTTAAGAAATTATTACCATGAGTCCTTTGCAATAGTACTTACCTTCCTGCCCTCCCCCAATTTGTAGCTCATACTTGATTGTTCTGTAATCTTTTATACAGTGACAAATGTAAGATGTTAACTTTTTGAGTAAGAAGTTAACATGACAGCACTGTGTGATTATCCTTGATTCTCTTTAGTATTACTCTTAGTACTAGTCTAGAACACCAATCTAATTCTTAAAAACAGAAAACACAGGAAGCTCAATACTTTAAGAAAAGTTAAACAGTAATTGATTCATCCCGGCTACTCAGGAAATGAACAGCAAAGATCTGTGTTCTACCCAAAGACCAACAATCAATCCATCTAATAATGCCTACCACCCAGAGACTGGGAAAACAGAAAAAATTCAGGGAGCGATTGAATCATGACTAAAAAGAAAACATTAATTTGGGGATAGAATGAAGAGCTAGAGGCACATGGCAGATTTGTGTGCTACAGACAGAAGCAGACGGAAGACAAGAGTGCCAGAGAAGGGCCCATCCACGATGGGATGAGCCTGTGGTGCAAGATGCAAGTAAACACCAACCAGAGCAGGCAGGAGCAGGGAGGACTGCTGTGTGATGAGAGACAACAGCAACAAAGGATTGGAGGTGGCAGAGAGGTGGGAGGCACACACATGTCAAGGGAGGGCAAGGGGATAAAAGCATTCCAAAGGGGAGGCGGAGTCATGAGCAAGGCAGTCAGTGAACAGAACTCAAACAAGGAACCCTGGAGAGCCAGGAAAAGTCATAAGCAGAAAGAGCAAAAGGTGAAAGAGGGAAGAGTGGAGAGAAGCTGGCCTCCTTGAGATGGAAATAATAAAATTAACCAAATGTTTCACGGAATTTTGTTTCACTAAATTAAAATCTCTTCTTTATTTTATATTTTTCCTTGCTGAGTAAAAACTTGATCCCTAAGAGCAAAACTTTCTATATTTTACAGAAAATTACTGATGAGTTCTACTCCCCATCAATGAACATGATACCAATTAACTCATGCTACTCTTCTGGCAGTGCTGGAGACTGAACCCAGGGGTCCGCCAAGGCTAGGTTAAGCGCTCACCACCGAGCTACACTACCCACCCAGATCAAGCACTTGTAGCTCTAACCAGCAAAAGCATTTCTTACTGAAAATGTATGCATGCACGCGAATGACCATAGTGGCATGTCTTAATTAAAAATGCTTCCCCCTTCCTTTTGTGCTCAGCAACCGTTAGAGAAATTCTTGCTCCTTAATGTAAGATGATATCATGTCAGTATTACTAAAAAGAAGTTTGATATAAGCTTTCAGAGGGTTAAAAGATTTTATAAATTTTTCATTAAAGTTCTGTTATTCATGTTTCTCTGGCCTCCCAGGAAACTGGGAATAGAACATGCAAACCACCCTGATTTTCAAAATGGGAACAACAACAATAAACATTGGCAAATACAAAAAAACTGTGGAAAAGAATGGAAACTATTCTATTCTTGATCCTGGAAAATAACCCAGGGGAGAATAGCAAATATATACCAAAGGTCTATTTATGAAGATGAAATTACTTTAAACTGAAAGAATATAATAGGTCTTCAGTGCCAAAAATATGTTCAACAAAAAAGCAGGTATCTACAGAGGCTGGGCATAGATAAAGATGAAACTAAAGTTGCAATGAATATGAACAAAGCATCACATCATTACAAAGAAATAATCCATCTACACATCACACCCTTTAGTGATTATTCAAGTAAGAGTCCACTGCTGGGGGCCAATATCCCAGTGCATGGCTTGTATTTATCTTCCTACTACGGTGACTCTTCCATTCATCCATAAAAAAACTCTGCTCATAAGTAGTCTGAAGTACTGCAATGGTGGCAAATATATATTATCAAAGTGGATGGGTTAACAAAGATAATGTAAGAAATACATAATAAAATGTACTAGGATCTTATCACTCATATTATTGTAACTATCTTCTTTCAGCTGTTCAAATATCTTAAATGACATTGGAGTTGCTTCTTGAAATGCACCTTCTCTTCAGTTTTTTAATATTCTTCCACAAATATCTTAACGAGTCCTCAGGCCATCCAGTCCACTCACAGGTATTATTTACTTCTGCAAATGGTTGCTGTTTGAGAAGACTTCTTGCAGGAATAAACCTGGTCTGCTGGTCTCTACTGAGGATAGCTGAAACTAGGATTATCTCTCATATTCAAAGATGACATGGAAGCCAACTGTGCTGTTTCCAAGGTAAGAGGCCTTAAAAAAAGAAAAGTTACAAATCAACCAGATTTTAAAAAATGACTACAATGCAGTGCAAATTTTCACACAATACTGTATTTCACCTAAGGTTAAAAAATAATTCCACTAAGAAATTTTAATGTTTCACTTCAGCATAAAAAAACAGTATTTTTTTAGAATAAAGAGTACCAAATAATAGCCAGTAAAAATGCTGCAAATAATAATTGTTGAAATAAAACACATCAGTTAAAACTAAGGAAATTCTTGTGACTGACTGCAGAAGACGATCTGGGCACCTTTCCTTGCATGAAACATTAGTTAAATTGAGTCCTATTTCCATAGGTACAGAGCAGGATATCCTATTCCTTTCGTCCTTCAATTGGTTCTAAGTGTTGCAAATAAGGCCAGCTAAGGCACTGATACTTAATCCTTGAGGCCAACCTGACACTGTACTCTCTGCATTGTGCTCTCTGTAAAGGACGAAGTACAGTGGGACGGCAGAGCTATGTAGCTCCAGCAATGTTAGCTGGGTACTTGCCTCAAACTGAGAAGTTAAGTCCCAGCACACGGAAGTTTACACATCAGAAATTGAAGCAACAGCCTCCTAAAACCATTCAAATGTTACGTAGACAGATTCTTCTGTATATCATTCTCCCTGCATACTGCAAAGATGCTTTCCTACCCCTCTGGCTAGCCAGCTGAAGTTAATCACGTAATTTCCCCTGTCCTCACTGTTACTCATTCTTCACAAGATAATAAATTCTGGGAGAGGCCTTGGATCAAAGGTTTTGTCCATAGATCCTCACTTGGTGTGGACTTAGGACTTTCTGGCTGCCGATAACTTTGAATATCTTAGTGTGTTTACTCTTGCCCATAGGTTACACTGGAGGTGGCTGAAATTAACTTGCTGGAATTCCAGTAATGTTTCTATGGAATTACAAATATAACTTCCTAGATTATGAGGTGAACTGAAAAAGTATTACAATACTCGGATTACAATATATTATATCTGGACTATAATATACAATATTGGGATTTCAATAATTGACTTTTCATTCTTTACCATGACCAGGACAGAAAACAGACTTCAACAAAATACCATTTCTCTGCATTATCATCTTTCTTGCAAATAGTATGAATAGGGACATTTTATATTCAGCTACACAAAGAGCTACCATAATGATGATCTAGAAAACTTCTTCATAGACAAACAAAACAAAAAAACAATAAAAGGGGCTGGGGATTTAGCTCAGCGGCATAAGCACCTGCCTTGCAAGCAGGCAGTCATGAGTTCGATCCCCAGTACCGATAAAAATGAAAAAGACAAAAAAAAAAAAAAGAAAACTTCTTCAAGGGCTGAGGATTTAGCTTAGCAGCATAAATGCCTGCCTGGCAAGCATGAGGTCGTGAGTTCGATCCCTAGTACCAAAAAAAAAAAAAAAAAAAAAAAAAACCTTCTTCAAGCCACAAAATTCTGGAATGTTATATTACATAGTGATATAATCCTGTGCCAGCAAACCAACTCTTGGCAAGTTGTTTTGCTTTGCCCTATCTATCAAATACAAGGCTGGTTACTTTTACAAGGAGAAGAAACAGTCTCAGTCTCAGACAGATATCAAGAGTGTTGTGGCAGCCCTGTAGTCGGCATCTCTGGGCTAAGTGAAGATTCACCTGTTACTTTTATAATAAATCCTAGGTTGTTTTGAGGTACACTCCTGGTTAACAAACTAGATCATGTTCAGGATCCAGTTCCATAGCCTTGTAATTTGTAAATGGGATAGCAGAGACTTCACACAAAATTATCCTAGCTTCACAGGCTTAAAATAAATGAATCAGTGTATCCAGTTTTCTTCTGCTAAAAACCTTCCATTCAGGAAGAGTCTGCAGTTACATCAAACATGCCAGGTGGATAAATGCTTAAATATGGATCATTTCAACTCAAATTTTCCAAGTTAGTTCCTCAGATATTTAACTAGAATGCAGGCTGTGGGACCATATTTGTAAGCTGCTTTTATGTAGACCATTTCAAAACAGGCGATGTTAAAACGACAGCAGCATGTGGCCATTTCTTCACTGACTGAAATTCTGAAGCAGCCCTGAAGACACGAACATGACAGCCTCCCCAGAGCAAATGGTCTGGAATACAGCATACAATACCTGCAAAGTTTGTGTCCACCCTGGCTCCTACCAGGTCTGTGGCCTGTGCTTCACTCAAGGGCACTTCCTTCTGATTCCTGGGTCACAGGCGATGATGTGTCTACTGCCTCAGAAGTCATCTAGTTTCAGTGGTTGCTGATATCCCAGTCCTCCAAAGTAACAGTGACCTCATGACAAAAAGGACATGGAACTGGGCTTCTGGAGAATATCATTTCTATTCATCTTGCTGCATACTGTTTGAAGGTGCTCATCTAAGTCCACATGGCTTCAAAGTGACTTTATTCCTAGTCTGTCACTAAAGCAAGACGCAATTCTACACTAACTCTTGGCAAGAAGAGGCCTTCTGATCCTGATAGCACTTACTGTTCAAAACAAGTCAAAAAGTGTACCTAGTGTTATGAAGGACAATGTAAATGGACAGAAATGTGTAAGTCACCAGGAACACCTATATCATGAGAGGTTATTGCATTAGTATTTTAAATCTGATGAATGTTTTAAAAACAAAAAGCAGTAACGTATTGAATGCCATTCAATATTTTATTTGGCCTAAGGTGTGTTTTTAGTTTGCCGGTTTATTTTGTAGTACTGGGGTTTGAACTTTTGCACTAATTTGTATTCTCAGACACTTTTTAAATTTTTAATCTGGAGATAAGGTGTCCCTAATTCACTAATTTGCCCAGTCTGCCATGAATGTGTGATCCTCCTGTCTCAGGACTCCAAAGTGCTGGGATTCCAGGTTATGTATGCCACTCCTGCTACCCAGTATTAGTTCTGACTCTAGTAGGAAGAGTCACTGTTCTGCATTCTGGTAAATCACTGTCTAAAGCCCAACAGCTAGACAGAGTTACAATCTCTTGAGATTCAGTTCAGCTCCTCTCTCCTTGTCTTGAGTCACTATCCCATGCAGTACTGCATCCCTTTGACTGTTGCCTCATCAACCTCTTCTATCTGGAAAATTCACCATTGCTTCTGCAGGTTAGAGCCACTGCACTTATATGCTAATTTGAAATTTTAAAAATAAACAACTTCTACAGCTATAAATGTAGTGTAAATAGTGAGCTCTTTCTTTGAAGTAGAAAATAAAATTTCCCAGAGAAACTCCACTGATGGGAGCCATGCTGCCTCTTTAGTACCTGCGTCATGATCTTCGGCCAGTGATTCCACTGCCTCATCTGACAAACAGGGTAATTGTACCTACTTCAAGGGCTGTTGTGAGATTCAAGTAAACAAGTCAAGGGGCTTGGGATATGGTGGCACATTTAAATGCTTGCTATTATTACATTTTATTTACTGCCAAATGTTCATTTGGTTTCATAAGTGGCACAAAGTTTGCCACAGAATGTGTTACGTATGGTTGGTTTTTTTTTTTTTTTTTGGTTATGTATGGTTTTATCTTCCATGTTTCCATGTTGGTCAGTCCATACATTTAAACCCACTCTGTATACATAAACCCAGGATACCAAGGCAGTTAAAAATAGTATGGTCTAAATACTTGGCCTTGAGGAGCTCATATTGTGAATGGAGAAACACTACAAGAACCAACATATGTAGCAATATAAAGTCACATAAGAGTGTAGTACAAACAGTGAATGTTCAAAGAGCTCACTGTGCTGCAGACTTTGTCCCATCCCTGAAGGTACATGGGCTCTTCATAAATGGAAACAGGTAAGAGTGTACCCATACACTATCATTTCACAAATACAGTATACACTGAGTACCTCCCGCAGGCCAGGCTCTGTTCTAGGGGTGTGCACCTGCCTACAAGGGATACAAAAAAAGTCCTGTACTTGGGGAATTAAAGGGCACTCAACACATGAGCCAAGTTTTTTCATTTTGTTTGTGGTATTTGGGATGAACCCAGGGCCTGGGGCAAACTAGGCAAGCACCGCACCACTGAGCTGGATCCTCAGCCTGAAAGGCAAGTTCTGAAGTGAAGAATGACAAGTGCTTATTTTCCTATCACAGAAAACATCATGGGTGAAACAATGCCTTACAGACAGGAGCCAGTACTGTTACCATGGTCACCATGGGGTCCCTACAGTCACAAAGAAATACAATAATAATTCAATAATTAAGTTCTGTTGCTTACAAAACACAATAAGGGGATATTATACATATTTCTTGATACACATAAGAGATTTAGAAGCTTATGCAGCCAGTATAATAGGGATGACTTTTTAAAGTTTCTAAAATTTTGCCCAAATGAATGTCCAGTAATGCACTGTTTGAATACTCTTGTGCTTTGGGGATTCTTTATCCTCACTTTTTCTTGTTTTTATTTCATCTATCAGTGACTTCCCACAAACATCAAAACTGAGCGAGTACCTAAAGATGCATGTGGTGGCAAGAATCTATCACAAAGTATTCACTTCAAAAGAAAATACAAGGATCTTTTTCTGCCTAGACTGTCCCACTGATGCCCAGGCTCCACTCTCCGCTCTGCAAAGAAAATGCCTTCAGGGAAAGAAAGTCTATTGTAATATTGACTGGCAAAGCTTTCTCAATCTTTCCCTCTTTCCAGTGAGGGACCACCGTGATCTTCAGACACGAGCTAAGTCACAAGATTTGGATCACAACACAGGCCTCCCAGCATCTTCCCAACCTCCTCTCCAACCCTTTCACTACCAAGGCGCAACCCACAACCGGTTACATCCTATCAGCATTCTCTGGGTCTTCGAATTGTTATGCCTGAGTAGTTATACTGCATCCTTGTAAACATATCCAAAATAACCTTATTTAAAAAGGCCACAATGACTTCATTAAATTCATTCAAAACCTTAACTTCTTTAATGCACAAAGTAATTAGGTCAATAGTGAATAATGTCTAAGACAAAGTCAAACTGCACCTGCAGTGCAGATTATCTAGCATTCTCTAACAATTAATGCTCAATAAAACTGTATAAGACTCCAGCAAACATCCAGCTTACTATTTTTTCAGCTCCTACTTTGGTATTGGAAAACTGGTCTTCATTCTTTATTATGCCATTTGTTTAGTCATTCAGAAATTAAATATGTAAAGGGGCCATTTAAGAAGAGGACATTAAGGTTTTCCCAAAATGTATCTTTTTCCTATGTCCTACTGTACCCTGTTTACTAGGTGACAATGTTATATAATGGGGATATGGAAAAGAGATACAGGGCTTGAGAAACTACTGAATTTCCAAATAGTTTCAAACCCATCTTCCAACTTGAAAAACACACTAATTTACTCCACAAACCATTATTTATTGCCAATACTCTTATTTTACGAAACTGATAATAAGGGTACATATTCCACATCTGGACATATTCAAATTCACATATTTAAATATTTTTGAGCAACTCATGCTTATGAAAACAGTTACCCTGAAGATTAAACGAGCTAAAGCATTCAAGGCCACTTAGAAGCCTGATTTGAAAAAAAAAAAAAATACTAGTACTCAACATTGGTTATTACTAGTTTTCCTAGTGTCCAAATTTCAAACTAAGAAGTTTCAAAATCATGTCTATGATTACGTATGCACAAGAAAACTAATATGTAAAACACTGTAAATAAAGCTGGTATTGTTACAGTACCAATAAAGGTCTTAATCTAGTCAAAGACGAGGTTAACTATACCAAATCATCCTTAAAGGTCAGAAAACTTGCTCCGGGCACTATCTCCGTTCATCAGTCAAGAATACAACCTCTACACGGTCTGGCATGAATTCCACTCAGCAGTCAACGGACACTGGAGAACTCGCCCAAAGCGAACAGCTAAGTCAAGCTGGTGGACGAGCGGCCCCTTCCTTTCCTGATTGCACCAACCCTTGAAATCTGATCGCTTCAATACTGATCTAAAAATCCCGCAGAAAGCTAGGGCTGTCCCGTACTGGGAAACACATTTTTCAAGTCACCAAACACATCTTCTCTACACATCCAAAAGTCATTTAAACTGACGACGCCACGGAATCCAGGCCCAGCCGTCTTCAAAGCACTGCCTGGCCTCGGCCGCGCGCTGTCGGCCGCGCTCCGGGCTGCGGAGGAGCGCGAGAGGTCAGCCTGCCTCATGCCGCCCGGGCCCCACGCCCGCCCCGCGCTCCGGCCCGGCCAGCCAGGCCGGCCCGGCCCGTGGGTCCTGGCCCCCAGGCCCCGCCGCTACCCGGATCTCCGCGGGGCGCGGTCCCACGCGGACGCCGCGCCACACAGCTCGTCGCCTCCCGGGGCCAGCGGGCCGCGGGGGAGGGAAGGGCGCCCCACTCCACTCACGCGCCCAGGGGCGGCACCCAGACCATCGCCGCGTCTGTCGCGCTCAAAAACTGAAAGGGAGAAAGGCAAGCGGGGGGGGGGGGGGGGAAGACCTGGCTCCTCGTGTCCTCCGGAAGCCGGCGGCGGCGGCAGGAAGTGACGCAGGCGGTCGCGGCGCCCCGGCCGCAGCCCGCGCCGGAGTCCGCAGAGATCGGCGGCGCCGCGCCGGCCGCCTGCCACTAGCAGTGTGAGTGACCGGCGCACGCGTCCCCGCGTCCCAGCCCCGCCCCGGCGCCGCCCCCAGCGCCGGGGCGACCTCTGCGCCGAGGCCAGCGGCTGGCGGGCGGCGTGCTCGGGCGTGCTCGGGCGCCGACGCGGTTCCCGGCCGCTGGCGCTGGGGGAGGGGGCCCGCGGCCTTCTGATTCCTGCGGGTCCTGCGCGTGAGGCTCCGGCTGCGCGGACGCGGGGACCCGTGCGCCTGCGGGCCGGAACTACCGCTAGGAAAACCACCTTTCAGGTGCAGAGCGCGGAGGGAGGAAACTCCGCTTGCTTAGGCGGTGGGTTTTGTGGTTTGGCGCTGTCCGGAGTCGCTGTTCCAAAAGAGAGAAGCAAGGTTGTGAGAGACAAAAGCGATACCATTCGGGGCAGAATAAGTGATATTTCATTTGAAAACCACCACTCAGCCGTGGTATCAGGAACCCGAAGTCGGAATCCGATTAGAATATACCGCCACGGGAGCCTGGAAAAGCGCTGCTTAAACTTTAACCTAGAAAAAGTCAACTCAAACTTATCAACCTAAAACTGAGTCCGAGGTAACGTGCTCTGATAGTTTTATCTCTGGACGCCCATAGTAACCAGGGACTTAATTCAGCTCATCCGATTGTCTTCCTACTGAAATACTGCTTGTTGGAGCATTACATCACAGGAAAACTGTGAGAAGTCAGCTTTCTTCTGAGAGCCCCAAATGGCTCCCAAAGCACAAGACTAGTTATATTGGTAACCTTGCTGAAACATTAACCTGCTAGGAGTAAAGCCCTAGGAGACCCCTGGGTGTTTTGTGGTGGCCTGCACGAGCCTTCCCATAGGTGATGTGTGTGCCCTGGTCAGCCTGTGGCTTGCCAGTAGGAAAGGATCAAAGTTCGGACCACGTGCTCACCGCGGGTCTGTTCTATGTGCTGGAATGTTCTGTATTCCTGGCAGCCTAACAAAGCATGCCATTGGTGATGATGAGGAAATGCCTACCACTGTGTAAATCTGGCACAGCTTTACTACTAAAAATAGCTCAAGTGCTTGTTTGTGGAACCATGGAATAGTAGTGTCATTGCATAGAATCATGTTGCATAATGTGTGTTATATAATTCACGTTAAAATTTTACCATTCTGGGTCAGCAATAATTACAATCCTTTTCTAGATATACTTAAAAGGTGGCATCATCATAGCAGGAGAAATCAAGCTCTGGGTAGTAATCTCCGTTTATTGAGTGGCATATGAGCAGAATTTTGTAAAAAGTTGAAACAAGAAATCAACCTGGTTCAGGTTCGTTGAGGCAGGAAACATTTCTGTAATTGTCAGAGACATGGTACTTGCACAATGTCCTGATGGCCGTTGCTGTATTGTTTCTTGTTTCTCCCTAAGTTAAAAATAATTCGCAGTCCTGAAAGCTACTACCCTTGCTGCATAATCCCTTGGACCTTCTGCAGCAGCTCAAATCAGACACTTAAACTCATATCGTGCCCCACCCCCACTGTTTTTTTTTTTTTTACCAAATGTAGTCACGTTAACATTTTGATATAAATCATAAAGATAGTTATGCTGTCTGCAATTCCAGAATTCTTCATCTACAAAGTAGGCCGATTTCGTATTATAAATCATAACATTAAATTTAAAGAACCTCTGGAGGTATGTTAAAAAATAAGAACGGAAAATGGGACTGGGGCGATGCACTGTACCTCCCACTCTATCAAAATGTATGTTTAGCCAGTCTTTAATATCTAGGAATTGGATACAATCTATGGGTAAGTAATATTTTGATCTCAACCTGTAAGTTCTTGTATTATTTTTATTGTTTCCTGGCTAATTTTCATAAGGCTCATCTTTATTTTTGTCAGAAACCAATAAGTATTTTAGAGAAATTACTCTTGCCATCCGCGTCAGAGGTTTCAGTTAAATGGCTGTTCATGGTATTCACTTTATTCTGAATAAGTACTGTATGTACCCAGACATCTAAGACTTGAGGTATCAGAAAAGGGAAAACACGCCACCTGACTTAGGAGTGGGGCTGTCCCAGTGTTTCATTTATGAGCAAGCAAGAAGAAAACCAACTCTGTCCTTAACCAGACTTACCAACTTCTTCAGCCAAATTGACATTAGTGAACATGGCTTACAGGATGTTCTGCAAGGTACCATAGTGAAGGAATTTCTGCGGTCTTCATTATGGTATGTGGCTTAGGAACATTACAAAACAGCTTATATGTTCCAGTTATACCTTTTCTTGGTATTACAAAATGTAGGTAGAAATTACAGTACAGTTACCACTTATCATTACTTCCATTTTTCTCCTTTTTATCATACCTAAAACAACACTTCTGGGTGTCTTTCACCTATGAGGTTCTGCATAAGGGAAAAACATTTCTTTAAACTCAAAATTTAATTAACTTCTCAAGCAAATAAAATTGTTCCTCTTTTATTTGCTCTTTGATAAAAGTTGGTATTGCTGCTTTTACTTGCTATGGAAATGGCCTGCTCTTTGGTAGAAGCACAGCTGTGTAAGTAGCAAAATGGAACTTTTTGTCCCATAGCTTCTGGCAGCCAGGTTTGGCCCCAGACCTCATCTCTGGCCAGCTCCAAACACACGCTTGGTGGGCCCATCTGATCCTTTCCAGGCTGTGGTCACCAAGGCGATGCTTTCCTGAGCGACATAGCCAGCTCAAGTCTGGTCTGTGTTTTCAGGTGTTCTATTGCTTTCATCTGGATGGTAGTCACAATTCACAATGTCTATCCCTTCAATGGATGTTACAGCGTCCACCATCTTAATAATATTTTTAGCCCTCGCTTTGATCTTTATATGGGAGCTATAATGTTTCCAAGTTAAAGTAAGGGGAGATGTGTTTGTGCCTTAATTATCTAGGCCAGAGGTCAGTCAACATTTTTTTAAATAAACTTTTTCTTAAATGGTCTGACTGAAAATATTTTACGCTTGGTGAGTTGTAAGGCCAATCAAGGATGTTACACAGATACTTAGAAGCACTTAAAAGGTGCCCATGTAGGGGAATGGAGTGCAGCTCAAGTCTGTCCAAGCACCACAGAATATAAATACGTGTGTATCTTGTTAGAAAAGCCAGTCTTGACTTGTGGGCCATATAAAAACGTGGTAAGCCAGGTGTGGTGGTACACACCTATGATCGCAGCTCTCAGGAGTCTGAAACAGCAGAGTCACCATGAGTTTGTGGGCAGGTGGGCCAACTAGTGCCTTAAAGACTAGTTAACCTACTAAGATCCTGTCTCAAACAACCAAAACCAAAGACCAAGCAAAACGAATAGGCTGTGGACTGGAGTTAGCCAACAGGCTGTGTGTTTGCCAGTGCTCCTTCCTTTTTTGTCTTACAGCCCCATGGCTGGGAGTTACAGAGTCATGGGTGACGATAGTTCTATGGATTACACTGTGCATGAAGCCTGGAATGAAGCCACCAACGTCTACCTGATAGTGATCCTTGTTAGCTTTGGACTCTTCCTGTATGCCAAAAGGTAGATTTCTTAGTATCTCAACATAGATACAGCACTGGGCTTTTAAGAGTTTTATAGGATTTTTCTGAATTGAATGCATAGAAAATAATTCTGTCAGGATGTTTGTTCCTGCTCTAACAGGTGCACTCTCCACTCTGGTCCCAGGTTCTGGTGGTGAGCGGGGATTGGGTTTAAGGTACCCTTACCTCAGGAGGTAGGGGTTTGAGTACAGCACCCAGGTCACATGCTCTTCACTCGTACTGCATCACTTGTGAGGTAACCCAGTTGTACCTTCAGCCTGGATTTATTGCTGCTGTCTAAGGAGCACGTGTGTTTTGTTTTGTTTTTTTCTGTTTTTGGTGCCCAAGTCCTGAAATGCAGAGACACTTGACTCCTCTGTATTAAGCAGATCTTCTTGCCCTTAAACTTTTCCTGGTTTCTTGTGTATGCCACTACCACAGCACTTATAATAGTACCGTTGTTATCTGGTTACTTGTGTTTTCTTTATCTACAAAAACTTCAGCCTCTTGAGAACAAGGGCCTTGTCCTTCCCTTCTGTGTCTTGGCTGTGCCACGTGGTGTGACTCCTCAATATTTTCTGCCTCAGTTGCAGATGTCATAGCTTCATTTAACTGCCCTTTTTTTTTACACCTGCTGGCTCCTTTACCCTAAGTAACGTTTAGTTTTAAAGCGGAATGTGTACTTCATAGATGAAAAGCAGTGTTAGTTTAGTTGATTTGGGTCTGCTCACAGCCACATGCTTTAGGATGGCTTCTACCTATGTAAAAATGACATTAAATAGTTAGAAATTATTGGTAATCAAGAAGTAATTTGTGTTTTGCCTGGGATAATCAGAACTCACTCTTCTAGGCTGCACAGCCCTCCTGGAGCAATCTCACTGGGGCTATGGGCCGCGGGTGAGACAAGCCACCTGCGTCCCTACCGTTCCATGTGTGCTAGCAGCTTTCCTCTGAAAGCAGGCACCTCCACCTCCCTGCTCTGCTTTAAAAGCAGAGGTACATTGTTCAGTTTTTAAAAAGATGTGCCCACTAAAGCCATGCTATTATATTTAAGAGATAGTTTTATTCATCAGTTTCCAAAGCTAAGATCTGTTTACATTCAATGTATTCCCCAAACCAATAATTTGTCCTTATTTGGATGATATGGGAGGGAGGAAAACTGAGCCTTTTGATTATACATTTTTCTGTACAGTATCTGGCTATTTTAGGGGTTGAGGGAAATCATAACAGAGGCCTCTCTCTTTATTATACGGATGTGTTCAGCACTTCCTTTCTCTTAGAGTCCTATTGCTGTATATGTACAGCCTTATACTTTTAGTAAAGGAAGGCATGAGCCAAGGAAGCATCTTACAAAGTAGAAAATAAAATGGACTTGTCATTTTAAGTCCTTTGTGTATAGTTTCTGATTACCAGGATCATGAGATTAAAATCTTACAGAAATCAGTACGTGTGCATTTTATATCATTATTGCATTTTAGGAACAAAAGGAGAATTATGAGAATATTCAGCGTGCCACCCACAAAAGAAACTTTGACAGAGCCCAACTTTTATGACACAATGAGCAAAATTCGTTTAAGACAACAACTGGAAATGTATTCCATATGTAAGTACAGTCTGTGCTAAGTGATACATGGAAGCATGTTTAAATAGATGTTTTAAGTTGAATTAGCAAAGGGTTAAGTTTTCAAAAATAGTTTGTTATGTAAAACTTAGTACCTTTTTTCAGATTCTTAACTCATTTTCAGCAAAGGCAAATTTACTGTGAAATTTATTGCCACAGGACTGTCTCCAAGACTCTGAGAAGTACCTTAGAAATGTATTCCTATGATTGTGTTTGAAAATTGCATAAAAATTGAGATTTTACCTATTTATTGAGATTGCTGTCTCTTGTCATTCTAATTTTTCCTCCTTTGCATGACCCTTCATGTGTCATGGCATTAAAGTGACTGAAGGATGGCAAGCCAGAGTCAAGTAGGAATGACTTTATGGCTTCATGAGCATGGCGTGAGATACCAGGAACAAGGCCACAAAGTCCTGTGTCATTATGTCCTATAGTCCTGAACATTGTGAGTATACAGACAGTGAAAAACGAAGCTCAGGATGTGAGGGACCAGATGAATTGTACATCTAAACTAGAGCCTTTTATGCTAAAGGAATGGGGTGTGGTTTCCATGATGTGTAGTTGAAAAACAAGAGTATATCCTAGGCTGCTACCATTGTAAAATCAAATGACCACAGTTGCGAGCCCTTCTGGAACCTTGTTGCATATTTGTGATCTTATGGAAAAGTTACTAGAATTCTAGTGGGTTAATTTCAGTCTACCATTCCCAGTGCAACCCATAGTGAGAATAAAGACACTAAGGCATATTTATAGTTGTGGGGAGCCAAGGGGGCCCGAAGTCCAACTAGGGTGATAGTTAACCAGAACAAAGGCTTTGACCCACGATCTGACACAGATTTTATTCTTTCATGAAGAAAGGAGTGGCTGAAGGATAACTGACTCTCAAAATGGCAGAAAGTAGGCGAATGCTATGAGCTGGGCTAGATAGGCAGTCTGAAATCACCTCTGCAGTATGTAGGGAGAAGAGGGTGTAGAAAGAGTACTCTGCATAACACAATTTGAGGTAGCTTCTAGTGTTTGGGAGTCAGTATTGAGCTCTGATGTGTAATCTTTTATGCCCTGGGAAGTCATAGCCTCTATGTCCAAGCTGGATCCCAGCCGACAGCGTGGAATGTGGCTCTCTCTCCTACTTGGCTCACATGTTTTTTGGGAGCTATGGACCAGTGGTAAACTGACCTGTCTGTCTTGCTTCAAAGACTACACATCAGCACCTTGGCCAGGGTGATTTACATTGCTTATAGCCAGTTGAAAGTTTAAGAAAAGTCCTAGCCAGTACGTACCAGTACGCGGAGATAGGACCAGGTTTAGGCAAAATGTAGATACTTGCCCTTCTTTCAAGGAGAGTTATCCAGGTGGTCCTCTACAGACCATAGCATCCCTTTTATGTTTATATGTAGTAAAAATGTTTGATATTGCTGGGGCAGCATGAAGGGAGGCATGGAAGGATCTGCATCAGGTTTCTGATGGATATTGCTTCCTGAGAACTGTGTGGGATTTAAAGAAAAAAACACTAGACAATTTTTTGGTGTGTTTGTTTGTTTGTTTGTTCTGGTTTTTTGGGTCTTTTTGAAACAGGGTTTCAGTATGCATTTCAGGCTGGCTATGAACTCATTTTGTAGCCCAGGTTTGGGCTTGCAGCAATCCTCCTGCTTTAGTCTCCTGAGTAACACACCTGGGATTATAGGTGTGTGCTACCACGCCCAGCCTACTAGGCAGTTTTAAAGAAAAATGTCCGCAGTAAAAAAGTGTGTACATGCTTTCATGAGTGTGTATTCACACGCATGCATAGCAAGAAACAAATATGTCTCCGGCCAAGTGGAATTTCAGGTGAAAAATAGGGGGAAAAAAAAAATATATATATATACCCACATGTAGTTCTCTGTGGCTGCTGAAGTCTTTTTTATAAAATAGCATATTTACATATATACCCTATACACGTTCTACCATATATTTAAAATCTTTTCTAGGTTACATATGCCTAACAGAGTATAAGTGGAATATAAGTAGTTATTATGCTGTGCTGCTTAGGCAATAATGATAAGGAAAAGTATATACATGTTCAATAGAGAAACAATTTTTGTCAGGTATTTTCAATTCACAGTTGGTTGAATCCACAGATATAGAGAGTCAACTGTATGTTTTAGTTGGGTAAAACCTGGAAAAAAATCCTCAGCATAAATTTTATTCTAAAAACTAATAGCAGCAGTTCCTCATGGGAAAGAACTGGGATGGTATTATAGAATTACTATGTAGGAAGGAGATTATGCTTTTCAGTTGACCCTTTTGCTGCTTTTGTATTTTTTACCAATGCATGTATTACCAGTGCAAAATAAGAAATAAAATTTCATTTAGTAGCATTACTCATAGCAGCGAAAAGGCAGAAATAACTTTACTGTCATTAGCAGATGAAGGTATAAACAAAATGTGGTACAAATGCACAGTAGAATGATTTAGGCTTTAAAGGAAGGAGGTTTTGGCCCACTGGACAACATGAATGAATCTTGAAGACATCATGCTGAGGGAAACAAGCTGGTCAGAAAAGGACAAGCATTGCATTATTTCATTGACATGAAGCCAGTCATAGAGGCAGGAAGTAGAATGGTGGTTGCCCACAGCCAAAGAAGTTGTGTGAGCATTAGTGTTTCATGGCTACAGAGGTTCAGTTTGGATGAGTTGTGTGGATGGATAGTGTGATGTTTGTATAGCTGCACAAATACACTTAGTGCCATGAGCTATACACCTAAAAATGGCAAATTTTATGTTAAATGTTTTTTTCAAAAACTTTCAAAATTTCAATTATTTTTTTAAAAATGTGCAGAATCTGATGTTCTGTATAAAAAACTGTATGTGAAGAGTTAAGCTTCCATTGATGCCTACTCAACAGTCATAGACCTACTATACATTTTCTTTTCTCTGAAAATGACATAAAATTTATCAGAATTCCAGGGTACATTAACTTTCTATTGTTATTATAACAGATTACCATAAACTAAGTGGGTAAAAAGAATGCAAATACATCATCTAGCTGTCTTGTGGGTTAGACATCCCAGCAAGGTCTCACTGGGCTGAAATTAGTATATCAGCAGCTCTGTTTACCAAGATGCATAGGGAAAAACCTGTGTCTTTGCCTTCTCCAGCTTTAGATGGTCTTAGTTATTTTCTCATTGCAGAGACAAAATAGCACCCACAAGTTAAAAGAGGAAAGGTTGATTTCACTTCACAGCTTGTTGAGGTTTCAGTCCACAGTTGACAGCATGGCAAAGGGGCATCGCAGATGAGAAGCACTCCACAGCATGGCAGGGGAGGGGCAGCAAGCAGCAAACCTACCTTCCATTCAGGCTACAAGACTATTGGTTGGTGCCACCCACACCCACAGTGCACCTTCCTGTTACCTCACTCAGAACTGTGCTAATCCAGTCAGTGGAGTAATTTAGTACCACACACCCTGAATCCTGGTATTACACATCGTAGATCCAGCCAGCTCCAAAAAGTCTCACCTGTGAGTGCATCAGGCCTTGGGGGAACAGATAGACACAAGCCATAACACTTGCACTCCTTTGGTTCGCAACCCCGTTCCTGCATCTTCACAACTAGGAACATTGCATCTGCTTGCTCTTCCGCACTCATTTTCCATCCTTGTGAAGTGAGTCAGAAAGAGTCTCTGTTATTAAGGGCCCTGTGATTAGGTTGGGCCAGATACCCAACCACTGTCTATCTCCCACCTCCCAGCTTTTTACCTTAACCATGCCTTCCAAGTCCCTCTTGTCTTACAAGGTAACATGGTTACAAATTGTGGGCATTAGAGAATGGCTGTCTTTGGAAGCTGTTATTTATATAAGCAGGAATTTATATATAGATTTGCACATTTATTAAATGCCAATGTAATAGGTCATTCTTAGTGTCTAATGATACATGTTGTCCTGATAAAGTCTGCCAGTTCAAGACAAAATAGCAGACAAAAATTCTCTTCTTAAAATTGTAAGCTTTAGGTTGAAAAGCGAGATCTCCACAGAGTAGCATAAATTAATAGACTTTCTTTCTTGGTTAGCAAAAATGTAAGGTTGGATTGTTTTATGGCTAAGCAGTGAATGACCTTCACAAGTGAATTTTAGTCCTGTGTCTTCTTTAATTCAGGTTAATGTAGTTTTTCTTATTTCTTAGAAGTATAAAAGGAAGATGAAATTGCATATATGTTTTTTCTTCCAGCATATATTTATCACAAATTATGTTCAATAAATGTCTTAGGCTTATAAATTATAGTCAAATTCTTTACAGTGGGAACAAAAACATTATTGACTTAAGGTGGAAATAAAGGGTCAGAAAGAAGGCCATTGTAAAACAATAATTTGATTTATGTTTATCATTTTACAGTTCATACAAAAATGATGAAGCAAACAAAAATGGATGTAGTACTGTTTTAAAATGAAAGGACTGTGAAATATAATTCATTTCTCTAAAGAAGAAGTTGAGTAATTCTAAACTGATTCTTTACTGAGATTTATCACTGTAATTCAGCTCATAATTTTATAGTTTTATTAATTTCTCTCTCTCTTTTTTTTAATAGCAAGGAAGTATGACTATCAGCAGCCACAAAACCAAGCTGACAGTGTGCAGCTTTCACTGGAATGAAACCTCAGAAAATGAGCAACATAAGTAATTATTAGCTGGGGGGTGGTGACCCATGGGCATATAACTCCAGCACTTGGGAGGCTGAAGCAGGAAGTTTACCAGATCAGGATCAGTCTGGGTTATATACCAACTTTAGCCTGAACTATAAGGCTGGGAAGACCCTGTCTCAAAAAACAAAAATTTAAAATTTAAAATGACTAATTGTCAACAGTACCATGGCAAAATCCTACTTCCTTCTACTATATCACAAACAACATTAAAGAAAAGAAAAAAGAAAAACTGTGTATAAAATCGTTTTATTTGTGGCCTCTCTCTCCCTCTCTCCTCTCCCTCTCTCCCTCTCTTCCTCTTTCCTCCTCTCCTCTCTCCCTTTCTCCCTCTCTCTCTCTCTCTTAATTTTAAGGTCACTTCTCCCTGTCATTTGTTATATAAACACAAATGGCTCAAAAACCCTCACACACAGGCCCTGCACACCCCAGGAAGATGCAGTATAAGCAGATGTGGGGTTTCCTCCCACCCCAAGGACCTTTGCCTTTGTGATACATGCAGTGAGAAGTGGAAGTGAGAATCCTGGAGTTTTTGCCCCCTGGATTAAAGTAGTTTCGGAAAATTAGAAAATGCAAATCCAGCTGCTGAAATAACCTCTGTTTGGGTTGTTTCTGTGATAAGTGCAGTGTCAGTGACAGATTTGTTTCCATGCCTAGTGTTCTTATTAATGACTTAAAGGAATTAGTGGTTTTCCTTCTTCAGAACTCGTACCGCAGATTGTCTCTTCTCCATCTGGGTGTACACCCGTGAGCTGCTCTATTGGAAGCTTTCTGTGATGGGGTCTTCCTGTCTGTGCTTTCCATCATTGTGTTGTGATTTGATTTTCATCTCTATTTTTTCTATTAGATGCGATGTCTGTAAGCTGTACAAGGGCCTGGCTGTATGACCAACAGACCGCTCTTTTTTTAAAAAATGAGGTTTTTCCTTTTAACTTTTTTATTTTATTTTTTATTTAAAGAAAAGTTTTAAAAAACTAGAAAAAAAGTACAGTACAGAATTGTAAAAAATTAACAAAATTGCTAGTTGATACATTACATGTTGTCATCTTAACAGTAGTTGTTAAAGTTACAAAATCGAAGCTTAAAAAGTGGCTAGACGCTCCAAACATTGACAGTGGGAACTCTTCTGTTCAATGATCTAACAGAAATTTAGTAAAATGGTCATCTATCTTACACACTATATATACCGTATGTCCTTTAGAGCACTTTTTTTTTCACTTTTACAATGTCTGTTATACTTTTTAGATCCCATTCTGTCAGTTCTTGCTATTTTTTACACCAGAGAGACAATGTAATATTTACTAATGTGAGTCTTGTTTATTTCACTAACGAGGATATTCTCAAATTGCCTCCATTTACCTATGAAGGCCTCAAGATCATCCTTTTTACAGCTGAATAGTATTCCATTGTATAAAAATACATTTTTTTTATCCACTCTGTGGTTGATGGACATTTTGATTGTTTCCAAGATTTAGCTATCACAAACTGTGTTGGTATAAACATGGGTGCACATATATCACTGTGACATGACCTTTTCAGTTTTTCTGGGAAAATACCCAGGAGGGGATTACCTAGATTGAATGCAACCTCCAATTCTAGGTTTTTGAGAAATCTTATGATTTCTAAGTGGTTGTACCAGTCTACACTAAGTGTTCTTTTTCCCAGATCCTCCCCAACATTTGTCATCAGGTTTTCTTGGTGGTGGCCATTCTTTCTGGGGTGAGATGAAATCTCAATGCTGTTTTAATTGCATTTCTCGAATGACCAGTGATGGTGAATATTTCTTCATGTATTTATTTGCTATTTGTATATCTTCATCTGAGAACTGTGTGTGCATCTCAGATGCCCATTTTTGGAGAAGGTCTTTGAATTTGGGGGGCTTGATGTTTTTTCAGTTCTTTCTATGTTCTGGATGGATTGTTGGCTAAAATTCTTTCCATTCTGTGGGTTTTCTTTTCACTTTGTTGGTGATTTGTTTTGAAGTGCAAAAACTTTAGTAATATGAGATCCTAGTTGATAAAGTATTTCCCTTGCAGTTTGGATTTTATTTGTGAATTCACTCCCTACCCCTTTGTCTCCAAGATTTTTATCTGCTTTGTCCTCCAGTATATTTAGTGTTTCCATTTTAATATTTAGACCCTTGATCCATTTTGACTTTAGTTTAGTGTATGCGGATAGGCATGGGCCAACGGCCCACTCTTGTGCCGCTGTTGGCAACTTGCTTTTCAGTTATGTCATTGTCAGTTTTTAAGGCTGCTCTCTGCTTTGTTCTGCATTTTTTTACTCATAGTAAGCACTTCTAAAACCTTGCTATAGTGTGCTGTTTTATACTCTACAATGAAATATTTTTATCCTTTTTCATGTTTTTTAAGTAAAAGCTGATAGGAACTAGTGGTAGAGAAAAGTTCAACTATGTATACTTAACCAATTGTTTAATTAAAGCTATTTTTAAGAGTTAGTTAAAAGTCATTTCAAGTGTTTCCTTTCTATTATTGTGAAACTAAAGAATAACCTTTAAGTGAAGATTAAACTTTAACAAAATCATTCAGAGAAATTGCATTTACTTTTAAAATTTACTGTCATCAAAAAATGTGTACAGTACTCTGTACAAGGTGAATTGTTGCCCAAGTACAATGATTCTTTTTAACTCAGGTTAAGTCTGAGACTGAGCAGAAGTGGGACAGCCAGGGACAGTCTCAGACTCTCTCTCTCTGCCTTAGGAAAACTCCCGCACACTTTCCTGAGTGGAGGGTTTAATCAGGAGTGATAGTGGCTCACTACTCACCATGTGGCACAGTCTGGATAGGTTATGAAAACTGGCCATTTCAGGTTTGTAAAAACAGCTTACATAAAGAAATATAAATTACACAGTGAAATCATTTGTTTTGGTTGCATTCATGAGATAGTCATAACAAACCACATGGACTGGTGAGCAACAGACTATCAAGTGAGAGAAGATCTGTTCTTCCTCACGTTCTCCTTAGAGCCACGTTAGAGCCTCACATGCACCCCACTGGCAGGAACACCAGCAGGTCCAGCTTTGAAGTTATTTCACTGCTTCAACAGCTGAGCTGGGAAGAGGTGGAAGCCTTGCAGCCATACTTCAAAGTGACCCCAGCCCTCAGCCTGCTTCTGCCCCATGCCCTTCATGATCTGGTGGAACTGTTTTCTTTGGAAGCAGGCTGAAATGACAGATGAAGTAGTAGTCAACAGTTATGTTCCCCTCCCCGTCCCTCCCTCCTTCCTCTTCCAAGGTGTGAGCACCCAGTAGCTGCCATTGGTATACAGGGAGTGTGTTAACAGATTGCTGTTAGGTGTTCACAGCCAGCTGCTCTAAGGCCTGAAGTTAGCTTCAGAGGGTGCAGATGCTCACTGTTGGCCTCATGCTGTCTCTGGACATTATGAAATTCATCAGAAACTCAAATACAAGGTTCATGGGAAAGTTGCAATGTTAAAAATAAGTATTCAGAAGAAATGAGATAAAATTGTAATAAAAATAGTTCTGATGTTAAATTTAATGTGGAAAATAGAATAAAAGAATATTGAGGAAGCCAAGGAGTTCATTGATGTGATGGTTCTGTTTTAACAGGACAACACCCTTTCTCATAGGACGCTTTATTCTAGTAGCAGAATGGCATTGCGAAGGGGTGCCAGGAATCTCAGTGGAAATCAGGACACGTGGCCTCACTCCAACCTATATTTAAAATAGAACTTTGAGTGGGGACTGTGAGCTTAGTCTTAATTTATGTCCCACTTGACTTCCCAATAAAGCCAGAGCCAAGCTTACAAAAGAAAAATACTCCCGACTGTCTTCTCATCCTTGTGGAATCCTGTGTGGGTAAGACAGGTCTGTGTAAGAATTTAAGAATGATGATGAAGAATTAAACTGACAACTCCTATTCCTTAACCTCTAACCCTAGCAGGATTCTATATTTCTGTATCCCCTGCCATTTATCTGGGATAATAGTGAAAAGCTAAACTACATAAGTAGGTTAGCAGCAGTACATGTTATGGGTGGGAAAGTGAGGTGAGAGAGGCCATGCAGTGGCCAGGCAGGTAAGTGATTCAGCCCCAGATGAGCTCTGTATTGGCCTATCTCTTTTATGTCAATGGTCTTAACTCCAGAGTTTCTTTTCTTCCAAATAGAGAAAGTTCTCACTTATGAAAGAGTGATTCATGCTTGAAATTTTTATAAAGATCTATTTTGAGACATTTCAAACCAATTGAAAAAGGCTGGAAATTTTTATAAAGTGCAGCTGTCTTCCTGTTGTTAAACTTAACTGCAACTAGTTTTGTCCTAAGAAATCTATATTTCTTGAGAAAATACATACCATAAATGTATTGGTGAGAGAAGAGTATAGGTATTACAATTTTTTTTTGCCAGGCTTCTAGGAAACTCCTTTGTAGATGTATTGTTTAGGATCAGCAAAGAACTTGACAACATTTATATGCAGATTTTGGAGTGCCTCCCTCTGGTCAACTTGAATGGACAGAATTTTTTACATATTTCATATTCTAGGTTCAATCTCCAGCACCACAAGAATAAAATGAAATGTGCAGAAAATTCTGTCCATTCAAGTTGACCACAGAGGGAGACACTCCAAAATCTGCACATAAATATCAAGTTCTAGGTTGATCCTAAACAACGCATCTACAAAGGAGTCTCCTAGAAGCAAAATAACTAAAAGGCTGAAAAAACTGAAAAGAGTTTTCAACTGCTTCCCAGAGTAGGAATTAGAGTATGAAATCTGTCACAGGAAATGAGACCCACGGTCAACAGAAAAAAATAGTTAATATAACCTGACCTCAGTGTTGAATTAGCAAACACTTGAAAACAACTATTACAAATATACAGCATTTGTTTATTCATTTATTATTATTATTATTATTATTATTATTATTATTATTATTGGTTCTGGGGATCAAACTCATGACCTTGCACTTGCCAGGCAGGCAGTTACCACTGAGCTAAATCCCTGGCCCTATTATTACTGTTTTTGAGTCAGTCTCACTATATAAATTCAGGCTGACCTGGAACTCTCTTTGTAATCTAGGCTGACCTCAAATTTGCAGCAAGCCTCTACCTCTACCTCTCTTCAGGTTCTTAAATGCTGGAATTACAGGCATACACCACCATCCCTGGCCAAATATACAATAGATAAATATTTCAGACAAATGACAATTGAAATGATTAGGGAGCAGCAAATCTGATATGCAAGAAGTTCTAAAGGA